GGAGTTTGAGATAATATTCCCCTTCTACTAATCAAAAATTATCTATGATTTGAACAAGTCGAAGCCTTCACAAGCTGACATTTCAGGTCGATACTAGTGATAACTCTAATGAAATAATGCCACCATCGATTACCAGATAGTTCTTATTCGGTGTCTGCAAACTGTCTTTGTTAGTTCCCAACTCTGCACTTCCCAATGCCTGAGCGNGCGGATATGAGTATTTTGGAATACCATCATCAACATTGTTAATTATTTCAACCATGAAAGATTGCTCACAGCAAGGGCTTTTCTCGTGACTTTGTCATTTTTATCAGTGTTCGATTCCCTTAGTGCATATGTGCTTTATTAAACTATACGCTAACATATCTGATTTTTGGAAGTCACTCCATGTTTGAAGAGCGTACATGTTTGGTCCTGATTGCAGAAATTTCTCAACCAACCATCAGTCAATAGTAACTGCACGGTAAGATTAATTTAATTGTGCTTAAAGTCTAAACTCTGTTTCTTCTTCTGGATACGTTATGCTTAGCTCATCTAAGGCTAAAAACTGTTTAATGCAGAGATCATTGTTATTGCTTTGTAGCAGTTTATTTGAGCAGTATCCGCAGTACAGTTCACCTGAACATGGTCGTTCCGTTCCTCCTCTTGTTATTCTCCGTGTCGAACCACTTCCTTTGTCTTCTCTCGGAGCCAAAGATCCTGAAGTAAATACAATGGAAGCTTCTCTCACTCCTACAATGTTTGTGACCCACGAAAGAACTTCCAAGTACGAGGCATTCATGAGCAGAGAACACGGTTCTAACTTACCTTCTCACCTTTTCCAACTTATAGCGGCACAACGAAAATTGACATTGCTCTCTAGTCACCAGAAGGCAGTTGTTATGGCATACTCAAAAAAATTGTTGTCAGTTCTTCATTTGATTCCTTGGAGAACTGTCTGTAGCAACTACACCTCAGTTCCTATGCCACAAGCAATCCTTTGCTAGCATAAACGATGTGGAAGAATCCAATACCAAGCTGTTCTACACTTACTCAAGTGGACTCCACAAAGAACCCCCAAATCTCAAAGATGACTTCAATCCGCGGTAGGGAAATATTCCCTGAATTCTTACAGAACACATCATTGCCTCCAGCAATATAAAAATGAAGCATAAGTAGATGATTTCGATATCTACACCAGGAAATAAACAAGTTGTTTTAATCATTCATCCAAAACAGGAGCCAAAAATCACCATCTTCTGCAAAGGAGAACTGCAAGGAGCTAACATTGCTGGCTCCTTTACCTAATAACTTCATTAAATTAACCAGATAATAAATATAAATCCTACACAAACGGTTCAACCATTCTTGTTTACACCTTCACTAACTCTCACATCGTACAATATATTTTAAACTAAGAGTCATAAATGAACGACCCACCAGCTTACCAAAAACATCGCTCTCGAGGAAACTCGATGATAAGTCCATCGTTGTGCAGAATCCGTGGGATGAGACTATGGTTGTATGCAAACCTCAATCAGGAAATCAAGTAGTCGAACCACCACGAATGTGAACCCGAATTATGTGCGCACAAGGCCACCATCAAACTTCCTCCCAACTCTTACACATTAAAATAGTGTGCCACTGTAGATGAACGAAGAAGGAGCCGAAGCAGCCACAGCCACAGGAATTTCGATCGTGACAAAGACACGTGTGCCCTGTATTGATGCCGATCATCCATTCCTCTTTTTCATAGTCACTGACAATGGATTTCCAGTATTTGTGGGTCATGTGATCAATCCAATGGAAGGATAATTGCCTATAAAATTTCATTAAGCAAACTCTCTTATCCTCGTAATGTTGGATAATTTATGTCATAATCCAATCAATTAGAAAAAATTTAAATTTTTTCCTTATAAGTGTCTATTTTGAGCAATGTGGAAGAAAAATTATCTAATTTGCAAAGGATTTTAAAGACCACATTTGTATCTTTCTCAACGCCTTCCAATCCTGCGCATAGTTGCCAAATTCTGCTTTAATGCGCCTTGACTCTACTCAGTAATCTCTATGGCATATTCTTCTATCATTGCAAAGACTCCCAAAAGTAGATAAGCTAACGCAAAGCTATAGAGGAATCAGACATATCACGTTGAACACGCTTTTTTGGAATTGTGGGTAAGTTCTGTGTGCTCAGACTAGGAGCATAGTCGTTATATTAATATGGTGGGTTTGATAAACCAAACGAGGGGTGCGCGATAGACCTACCTGCACGTGATGCATCAAGGGTAATGTATACTCATGCGGCATAAAGTCCACCAATCGTCAGTTGACTTCTCACTTCAAACTACCATAACTCGACTCTATGCCATATTCGACTACTTCCACAGTACTCAACTCAAATCACCTCACCATTTTCTCTACCTTTGTGTCTCTAAATATCTTTAATTTCTGTCAATCACCCTTCTGTTCCCCATCTCAAATTTTGTGATTTCAATGTTCCTACCCACCGTGAAGCCCGAAGTCAAAAAAATGGCTTATTATATCAATCACGAAGTCTACTGTTGGCTAATAATTAGTATAATAAGTGAGGACAGTTGGTTGGTGGTTGGTTGTATGTTCTCCGCGTTCACCGCCGCTTTTAGTTCCTACGCCAAGTTGCAAGCCCGCACCTTCTAATCTGTCTGAGTGCATGTGACATTCCTTTGTTCAAAGATGATAAAATTCCATGCACTATATCATTCACTTTATCATGTAAATAAATTGAATATTTCAATTTCGTTTCACCTATTCCCCCTCAATTTGTCTCATTTTTAATTTAACGCGATATGTTAAGCACATTTTAATGCTGGCTTCACAGCAAAGAATAATTAAATGCACACCCTCAGACAATGTTTTTTTTCTTGTCTGTCAAAACTATCTCCACAGGTTTGAGTACCCAGGCAAAACACTTTTCTTCACTTTAAATAAAAACTTACAAAAGTTGCATTGTTTCGATTATTTTCCATCCAAACTTTTTATTTATTTACCGATTACGCATTTCCAACCTTCCACTTCCTCCTCTCTTAACTCCATGTACTTCAAATCAATTTATTTATAACAGGGGTGTAAGTGACTGATAACATTAAGCGATCGATCATTGAGCAACCTTGAGTCTAATTTTGAATTGGTGATTTGGGTCCTGTCGTATCATCGTGTTGTGGGAGTGCAGTTGTATCGAAGTAAACATTGGAGGCCACTTAAGAGTCTGTCACACCAGGCACCGTAACTAACCCATTTGGTCAATCTGCAGTGCATATCAGCAAATCATTCACATCCTCTTAGTTGCAATTTCGTTGTTAATAATGAGAGGTAATGAAGTAATTATAGAAACTGTTAAAATGTACTTAGAGGAGGATAATGGTATGAATTCTCTGTGGGAACCTTCCCGGTAAACTCGTTTTTAAGGCACCTACTCTTGTCTACAAGAATGCAAGGCATTCTAATTTAAGAAATTCGGGTACCTCGTTTGAATCTATTTCAGTAGTATCTATTTTACTGCAGTATAATAAATTGTTTAGAGACGTCCATGGACTATGAGGTATTTATCTGCAGCAATTTATCCTCTGAGCCTACTCTTTAACACTTATGTCGAGGCAAGCATTATTTCATATAATTTGGCAGAAAAATTTGTACTGCTGTTAATTTCTAAGTATACAATTACAAATTCGAATCTTTCCGAAAAATACATTTGTGGTTCAATTGAACTAAACGTCTTTAGCAGTTTTGTTAAACATTTCAGCTCAGAACTTCCTTCAAAATTACACGAAAGAATCCATATTTTCACTAATAATAACTTTAAGATACGGAAAAATATTTCTTTTTAGTCAAGTAGTATTGCTAACACTTTTACATGTGCTTCCATTTCTCTTCATCGAACAATGAGGAAGCTGTAACTCACTCGCGCTGAATTATACTGTCGGTGGCCTACCCCAACTGGAGGTGAACAGCGCTATCTTTGAAATCGAAATTTCTGCAAATGGATGCATTTCTTTATTCAGTCAATTAATATTTATTTCTAGGTAATAATTCTTTTCTTTTCTTCAGTGAAAGCATATTCGAGTCTTTTAGAGATTTCAACTAAAATAGAGTCTTGACAATAAACTTGATTCCTACATGATGGCATAGAAACTGGAAGAAATATCAAGGCTCAAGGGAAAAAAATTAAAAAGACATGTTTTTGCACTGACAACAACAGCTTTATCAGTTCCTCCTAAAATGGCTCAGAGACGCTGCCAAGTTACAACCTAACTGCCGTAACCCTTCACTCCTAGCAAGTCCACTTGATCCACAGGTTTGCGAAAAATCCACACGATGGTGGACAAATGGGGATTTGTCTCTGAGGTGTAACAAGTTCCTGGCAATGCATTTATTGAACGCGGTGCAAACCAAGGCTAAAATCACATTGTTTCAACGAAGGAAGTAGTTAATGCGGATAAACCATTGATGGTTTTAATATATTTGGACCAACTTTCTGTCTTGTTTGCTCTTCTAAACGTACCATGGCTATAGGAAGTTTCTCTGTAAATTCCTACTACAGTTCAATACATTTTATGTTCTATGGTTTGCAATCCACTTTGAACTGGCGAGGTTTCTGGTTTGAACCCCTTCTAATAGCAACATTTTTGATGGCTTACTTACTTACTTGTCAATTCTTGCTTTCAAGTGCCCTTTGATATAACATCCTGACATATTGTACAACACGATAAATTTTCTCGAATGATACTGTTAACACTTTCACACCTACAATCCAGTTCTTACTTTCAGTGTTAGCATCTCAATATCTTGCACTTCACGACACACAAAGTTTCTCGTACTCGTTGTGGTCGAATTGCTGTCGTCCCTTCACGAACCAATTATAGGACGTCTTTCTATATATTTTGACTCCAAAACAACTGCGTGCTGTTTGTCAAAATTGGTCTTCACTTTCATTCTTTTCAAAGCTAGAAGGAAAACTGAAGTAATAGGTTAACGAAAATTGTAAAATTTAATCATTTTCTCAAATTCAACTTGACACACAAATTACTTCAATCTCCTTAAACCACTTATTGATAATAACAAAAATTAAACTTTCAATCTCCCCTATTCTCGTAACATAAGAGAACTAAAGTGATCTTGTAATTACCTAGAAAAAGTTTAAAATTTTTTGTCAAAAGTGCCTATTTTGAGAATAAAACCACTGGGGTGTGGAAGAAAAAGAATAAGTTAACACATGACCAAATAATTTTAGTACACAACAGTAATCAAAAAGTGCAAGGTCCACATTTTTGACTAATTCAACACAGCGCGTTGTTGAGGAATGCCGCATTAATAAGCCTTGACTATGCACAGTAACCTTTTATTCTTGGAAAGAAAAGCTCCCGCAAAGGGTAGAGTTTAAACAGGCGTATCACATGGAACACGCTCATTTAGGGTTGTGTGGACGTGTGTACGTGGTGTGTGTACAGGCAAGGAGCTTAGTCATTATATTAAAATGAGGGAATCGATAGGCCAAGCGAGGGATGTGTGATATAAAATACCACCTCGTGGAGCCCCCTAGGAAATGTATACGCATAGGGCAAAAAAGTCTATTAGCTGGAAGTTGACTTCTGACTTCAAACTACCCCGACCCCACTGTATATCATATTCGACTTCTTCCACGATACGCATCTTACATTTTATATATCTTTACGTCTGCCTCTTTTATGTATTTTATTAAATCTTCTGTTCCTTCTCAAGACTTTTTGCGACTTTGATGTTCCCCCTCTCTGTGAAGTCCGAAGTTAACTAATGGTAGCTACCATAAAGCCTGCCATTTGATATTAATAACTAAACCTACCGAGGACTATTGATTGGAAGTTATCTGTGTGTTCTCCTCACTCACAACCTCACTCCCTACCTACGCGAAGTTGTACGCCGCACCTTCTAGGCTCTAAGAGTGCTCGTGGGATCCCTTTGTCTAAAGGTGATAAAACTTTGTGATCCACAGCAATAGGGCTTAGAAAATGCATTCATTGACACACCCGACAGGGACTGACGTCAGTTGCTCCAACTTGCTTAAAATTAAATTAAAATTAAAGTTTAAAGAGACATTCATAAAGCACAACACCTTTGCGATTTCGCACATAACTAGAAAAGTGAAGGAAGATTATGAAGTGGTCATTGAAATAAGCCTTGCCTGCTAAATCTAAACGGTTGGTGTCATCATCTGATGCCTGGGACGTGAATTCCCTCTTCATATTAGCAGTTCGATTTGACACCCACCAATTGGTGTGATCACGAGTTCTTTTAGCAGATGAATTGAATTTGACCTCCTCTTAATCACACCTAAATCTTTAATAGGAAGCCTTGAATTCGTTGCCGGGAAAAAGACACTTTGCTAAAACTAGAGCCTGTGGTTCATCTCCTCACATGGGACTCAGGTAATGCTTTTCCTTTGACAGTCACTGTGCTATTGAAATTAAACACATCATATAGAGTTGCGTTACAACACTCTGAGTAATTCGTTGCTCGTGTTCACAATGAGCCATAGCAAGATCAGAGTGAGTGTTGAGTGCGCAAATATAGCAGTCAACATGTTGATAGGTAAAATATTACACGTTTATAATTCACTCAAATTAACTTTGTTTCATTTAAAGAAAATAGGGCAAATGGACTCACAGAAGTCTTTGGGAAGGAGACACATGGTTTATAAACCAAAATTCAACAAAAATTAGCAAAATATCACTAAACTTTGCCTCTATCTGTCCAAATCACATATTCTAAGCCTCCTCAAAAATAATTAGTTTTTTATTAAATAC